TATGTGGCCATAACTTGCCCCTAATGTCAGTCCAGAAATATAATATTTAAGCATCCTATTTTTTTTTTTCCCTCGAGGGATTCTCATGGGCTGCTGGGAGATGCCTAGTAGGAAGTACTGGGAAGTAGATGATCTGTGGGGTCCTTCCAACCCAAGCATTTCTATGATGGAATTAGAATGGGAAAGGAAAAGATTCACACACTGTGTGTAATATCTAGAGTTAAAGCAAATATGTCATAAGACAAGAAATTCCAGGTAAAAATAAGTATCTTTTTTCCTATCTGTGGTGTTTCACATAATTGCTATGCTGCTGTTGCTATGGTAATGACAGCAATTCTGTCTCTATATTGTCCTTTTTTCTGTCATTTACATCTACTTACATGTGCTCACTTCTGCTCAACAGATGAATTGCCCATCTACATAATCTTTTTTTTTTTTCATCTTGCTTTACAGCCTCACACAAGAAACTTGTTTTAAGTCTACACAGAACTTAAAAATTGATATATGCTTAAAGGCTTTGCTGGGCTGGTACCAGTGCTGTATTCCTCACATGATCAGCCACTACAGAAGTGATGGGAGCTCTCTCTCGCTCTCCAGAGTATTTCAAGGACCTCTTAAGTTGATGCAAACATTGTCTCTTGAGCTGCTTTAGCAAATTGGCACGAGAAAGACTGAAATTAAATCCACGGTTGCTATTTTAGCAACTGTAAACTTTCCTCATCCTGTGAGATGTCACATTTAGAACTTGGCTGAACAGAAAGGCTTGGGGAGTGGCCGCTGAGCATTATTCATGGTTGCTGGTGCAGCAGGATGCAGTGTGTGACTGGGACACAATTTCCTGTGTGCAAGGCTGCGAATGAGAGAGTTCTCTGACAGTGGGCAGACAGCTATAGCAATGACATCACATCACAGCATTTCTCCAGAATAATGGACACTTCATTTTCATCTTTTAGAGATTCTGAGCTATTGACTTGGTGGGGAAAAAAAGGATAGCGTAGTGCAAACTTTTTAGGTGGAGAAGTTTTATTACAAAAATTGTTTGTAGCTGATTATCTAGATTAGTCCTACTTGGAATGAGTTCCTCCAGAGCAGTGCCATGCAGTAGTATAATCGGAGTAACCTGGGGGTGTCATTTGTGAAAAAGAAATAAAAATGGTGTATATGCTAGAGGAGGGAGAAAAGGATAATAGGACCCGTTCTGGTTGCTTCTCTGCATTTGAATTGTGATCTTGGGAACTGGTTTGGTTTGGCTCCCATTCTCCCTCCTGTGCAATAGGAGTGACATCCTGGTTAAATTATCTTTGTGCTGCTCTGAATATGATCTCTGGGATCCTGCCATCACTTAGCAAAGCATCTGCTATTTTGTCCATAGACAAAGATAACTTTGAGTTAGAACTGAACCTTTCAGGGTCAAAGTATCCAAAACTAGCCTCTGCTTCTGCATGATATGAAGGAATAAACCCCACAGTGGGAAGATGGTGAGATGCTCTTCTTTCCAGTATCATATTTTCTCAGCCTCTTGCCCCAGTTTCTGCAGCAGACATTTATGTACTTGGAGAAAATCACAAGCTTCAAAACAAGAGAAAATGCAAATACTGTAATAGAATAGACTAAGCTAGAAAACAAATAATGCTATTCTCAATTTTCAGATAAACATTAATCTTGTCTTGGCTCATTCATCTGAAAAATGCAGGTTTTCCTATTTCCACTCATTCCAGCTTGTCTGGAGCCCAGCTTGTGTGGGACTGGCAGCTGTACCGGGTCTGTAATTTGCCTCCTGCCAGTTTTGGGGCTCTGGGTTTTCTGCCACTGCCTTCCCGTGAGGCTCACTCGGGTTTTTCAGCCTGAGCTGTGCACAGCACCGTTCCCCTGCAGAAGTCACTGGCCACGGCAGCTGCACCTGGGGCCTCATGGTAAAGGCAAGTGCTGGCCAAGCTGGTCCCCGTGGCCAAGCTGGTCCCCGTGGCCAGGCTGGTCCCCTGGCCGAGCTGGTCCCCGTGGCCAGGCTGGTCCCCGTGGCCAGGCTGGTCCCCGTGGCCAAGCTGGTCCCCGTGGCCAGGCTGGTCCCCGTGGCCAGGCTGGTCCCCGTGGCCAAGCTGGTCCCCGTGGCCAGGCTGGTCCCCGTGGCCAGGCTGGTCCCCCTGACCAGGCTGGTCCCCTGGCCAGGCTGGTCCCCGTGGCCAGGCTGGTCCCCACGCTGTGCCTGGTCATCTCTGCGTGGCACAGCTCCCTCAAAAAGAGCAAACCATTGTTTGCTTGGCTGTTACATGTACAAAAATGTGCTTTAGAGGTAGAAATCTCTTGCAATTTACCCACAGATTTGTGTGAAGGTGGAAACAAGGCTCACTCCATGCCTGGAAGTTTTGTAAATGAAAGAGAACCACTGTAGGCTCAATTAACTGCTAAAGCTGCACAGAAAGCTGGAGAAGTGCTAAGGCAATTTTGGTTCTTTTCTACTTTTGTGTTATACATTATAATGGCATTTATGTATATCCTGCCTTTTTGGTTTCACTCCAGGAAGGATTGAACCTCAAATCAAAACAAATTCAAATTTTGCACTCACAAAGACCAGAAAGTAGTTGAATAATCAAGTTTTTAAGAAAGTCACTGAGAGAATTCAGGAGTTGAGAAGGTGATTTTTGGGAAGATGAAAAGATTAAAGTTTTTAGTGGTTTACCTGAGATGTCATTCTCTGAGTTGACTGTATATTTAACATTTTTTTGTATTTTTTTACAGGGGTGATTACCAAGTCATATAGTTCTTGTAAGCTCTGATTCAAGGTCCACTATGTAAATCTGGCTATTTTTGCATTTACCTCATAATGGTATTTTAAACACAGATCTTAAACTATACTTGAAAGGAAGATAGACTTTTATCCAATTTACATCCCAGGAATTAGCAATGAAAACTGACATGAAAAAAATACTTGTGGTTCATCCACATATTTATACAAAAATCCAGCTTTGCAGTCCATAGCAGAAGGTTTTAATTAAGCCTGTTCTGGTCCACAGTACAGCAGTAACAGGAAAACATTAATTACCCTGAGCTATAACAGGATGTCTTAAAATCCTGCTGAGATCCTCTTTCTCTGAGGAGCCAGAGATTACTGTCACATTAGCTGATATGATCTTTCAGATACTAAAGGTTTGAATTGATTAGAACTTCAGTTTTTCATTGTAAAGGGAAGTAATTAACAGTAACCCACACTGATCAAAGAGAAAAGATATAAACTTCAATATGCATAGTGTGTTATACTAAAGTAATTTTAAAGAAATAAAGTAATTATTTTCCCTAAATTTTCCATATTTTGAGACCTCTATAAGATCTGCTAAATCTGTGTCCATCATATCAAAACTTATTTTTCATGAGATGTTGTTGGTCTCTCCAAGTAAGAGAGACTACCTTTCTGTACTACCTTATTCATTATTATATTGGGATGGCAAAGATCTTTCCAAAGGCAGCTCTGCTAGGAATTGTGTCTGCCTATCAGCACCCTGAAGCACTTTGAGTAAAAAGCAAAAAATATGTGGGAAAAAGAAGGTTTGTTTTCCTGACTGTGCCAAACTGAAGTGGTCTACAGTAGAGTTTAATTCTTTGCACAGATAAATACGTGGGAGAGTGGGAAGTGATCTCAGGCCCCCTGTGGGGCTAAGATACAGGTCCACCCTTCTTGTTCAACTTGGTTTATAATGAGTATTCATTTTTAACAGTGCTTCAGTAAAAATCTTTTAGTAATAATCCATCCTCTTGGAACAAAAGCTGTGACAATCAGCTGGATAGGAATAGTAGGTGCTAAAAGATAGGTTAAAGTGTCTCTTTCTCTATAAAAATGCCTCCCTTTCTGAATCAGTTCAGCATTTTCTTTCTCCTTGAGAGGCAAGGATCTTTGGGCTGCAAAAGGATAGAAAAAGAATTTTGTTTCCATTAAAAATTTGTTTTTCAAAGTTTGGTTAGAAAAGCCCCATCCCTTCCCTTACACTGAGCATGTGAAGAAAAGGATTCTTTCAGAAATTCAGAAAACATCTGTACCAAGTTGTCAAATGGCCTGGGGCCATTGTGGTGCCAGGCAGCGCTGGATTCATTAGTGTTACTGGACTCCCAGTAATTAGCCGGGTCCCTCTGGTGAGCAGTGGATGGACTTTGTAACTGAAGCCAGGTCTCAGTTACAGAAAAGGAAGCGAGCTGCTGCTCACAGAAGCTACAAGAGGTACTTGGACATCTGTTTGCTCAGATGATTAACCAGCCTGATGTCTCAGAGAGCTTCCTCCTTTCTCTTCTCATCTCTTTGCACAAAAAGTTGATTTTGCTTATCACTGCTTTAATTTAGTGACCCACTGAATCAAATTTATAACTGGAGGGCATGACAACATCCAGTGATTACTGTTTTTAAACGGAGGCAGTTGTTTTTCCCTTGGGCTGTTTTTTCCTCACTGCCCACCAGATCTCTTGCTATCCAGGAAGCAATACCTTTATTTCTCTCCAGATCATTTTAGGAAGGAACATTTTTGCAAACAGTTAGAAATACTTTGTAGAGAAATTAAGTGCAATGAGAGGTGGAGGTCAGGACCTCTTATTTTCAAATTCTGTCAGCACATTTTAAAACTAATCACCAATAAAGCCAAGGATCCTTAGAGAAACAGCCATAATGCTGCATTTGCTGGGCAAACAGGTCTCTGAGGGTGTGTTGTCTTTTCATATAGCTTTAGGTCTCATTCCAAATGGCAAAAAGTGACAGGCCACAAAGATCTTACATTCATGTTGAGTTTAATCCTCCTGAAATCAAGGAGAGTTTTGCTAGGAGCTTCAATGGGGGCTGAGATTTCACCCTTGGTTTTTTGAAAATATATTGGCTGCCTCCAAGTTTAATGTGATTTATTCATCTCTTCCTTTTAAGTTTATCCTCTGATTAGCTGAGTGAGTCTTGTGTGGGACCTTACTTAAAGGAGAGAAAAAAGCGTGGATTAGAGAAACTGAAAGAGCCAGACATGCAAGGCTGTATATTAATGTTCTCTATTATTTAGTTTATTCTTTCATGTGGCATTCCTACAAAAGGTAAAAATGTACAAATAGCTGACAAGGAGAATAATCAGAAGGATGAATAGGTATGAGATGGATTACTGTGCTGTTATAAAGGAAAAAAAGGTATAAGAGGAATTTAGAAAGAAATATTAAACTCTTCTGCCGTGAAAGTGGAGCTGGAAATCCTGGACACAGTAACAATTTCTGTGCTGCTCGTTGCTCCAGCCATTCAAGCTCACACATGGCTTTGCAAGTGAAGAGCAGATTTTTGCTAGAACTGAGTAGCTGGTGTGAAGAGCCACGGCCCATACATTCCTTCTCAAGCAGATGCATCAAGCATCACCTTGCACAATTCCCTCTGCTAATGTGCCACGCTGTGAGATCCAGGCTCATTATTGTGTCCTGACACTGCTCTTTGTCCTTGTGCACGCAGCCAGCATCAAAACCTGAAACAATGAAATGTTCTGCTTAAGTGAATTTCTCTAAGAAAATCGTCCCTGTGCAAACCAGATTTTCTAATTGTCTGTCACCTTGGCAGATACAATAATTCTCTGTTGGTACATTAGATAGCAAGGGCCAGAATCCTTGCTTCTCCTTGTGAGCTACTGATAGTAGCCTGGGCCCAGAAACCTTCACTGGAGTCATTTTTACCTGCATTTGATGATATCAGCAGGCAGACAGGGCTGGAGATGGGTGGCAGCGTGTAGGATTTGTGTTTGTATTAAAGGTGGCATTGACACCTGGCTGCTCTGCAGCCTAGCCCTGACTGCTCCCTGTCCCCACCTGTGCCCTGCCTGGGGTCACAGAGAGGCTCAGGGTGCTTTGGGCTCGGGCACAACCACAGCTCATTTCTTTCCTCTCTCCTGAGAAGTGCCCCACCAGCCACGCCAGTAAATGCTCTTGGCATTTACTTCTGGCTGCAGAACCATCACATCAGTTTTCCTCTCTAAATGCAGAGCTGAGAAATGCACCCAGTGGGCATTGCTGGAGGTGCCATTGGTTTTTAACAAGTACATCACAAAGTATTGGAAAAAAAGTTTTACCCTGGTTTGGTTTTTTTTCAGAAGGGGTGAGTTATCTATAATTTTTTCTTCTTCCTGTTGCTTAGCAGCCTTTAGCAGTTGTTGATGTATCATTTGATATGTACAGATGGTCAGCCACAGGAGTTGGAAGTTCAGATTTCCATCACGTGGGTTTTACACCTACTTCATAGAAACCTCTATAGAGCTTCAAATGTGATTTTGTACATTTGCTCTCATGGAATTATGGAATTTCCTACCCTGCTGTCAACAAGCTGTGTATTATTCCTTGGAAATCCACTTCAGATAGTCATTAATTATGTCTAGTTAGTGTCAAAATAGTTAATTTTTTTTCTTCTTTTTTTTTTTTTTTAATACTTAATAGCATGCTATCATCTGGCAGCCTAATCTTTGCTTTAATGAACAGTACCAACACATTAAAATGATGTGAAAATTATCACTTTAACTTCACAGAAAAATATATAATTAGTACAAGAAACACATTAAATTCTTCAAGGATACCTCAAGTGCATGGATTCTGATGTTGATTAGAAGCCCTTCTGCAGAAATTGTTATTTTAGGATATTAGCAACCCTTCTCTCCCAATTTGCAATAAATTACCACTCTCTGCCATAGATTGATATATATGTTGTGTACAGATAGGATCTAATGCATGTAAGAACATCTCCGAGAGTATAGCTAATTAGTTAAAATACAAATATTCACAGTTTTTGGGGATTTTGGCCGGAGGTCTAGGGGAAAACAGCATAACATACCTGTGTCTAAACAGGTTTATGTGGAAGAGTACCAGTATATGGACGAATGGACAGATTTTTTTTTTTTTTTTTTTTTTTTTTTCACTGTCACTGTTATCTGTTTTTCCACTGAGATTTCACCTGCCTGTTGCCAAAGCTTCTGTTCTGTTCTAGATGTTGATCTGGATTACTGAAAACCTTTCAGGGGTGTCATACTCCTCATTGGCTGCTGTAAGTTTTGGAAAATGAACCAGTTTAGCTGCACTGTAGGATGGCTTCAGGCTGCTGCTGTGACACAGTGCATCTGTGGATCTGGCATAGATCTAAATGCCACAAAGCCCCAGCTCTGTGATGAAATTCTAACTCTGTAAGGCTGTAGGATACCATGGGCTTGGCTTCACATCCACCAGGGCATTTCCATGGGGCCCTGGGGGAGAGGTGTTGGCAAATCTCTCCCTCATGTACCACACTGCTTTCTGATCTGATTGAGTTGTACTCGGGCTGGCTGGTACCAGGAGAGCTGTTGTCTGACACGTTCTTCATCCTCTGCTTTTCTACAGGAGGAGCAATGTCCCTCGACATTTCACTCTCTGGGAATCCTCTCTGAATTTCTGCAGTCTCAGAAAGGCAGCTCTGCTCTCCCACTTACCAGTCGCTCTCATCATTGTGATTCATTTTCCTGTGATGTGGTATCTCATTTCTTCAATGTGAGCATTGTCCTGGGGCCAGGGGATAAAGGCTGTGGTGCTGGGGTCTGGGTTTGTTTCTGGGGCTGCCTAAAGTGCCCAACTCCCTGCTGCAGCGGGCAGGATCTTGCGGCTCACCCCCACCATGTGCAGAACTTGTGCACAGATCTTGAACTATACCTGAAAGGAAGATAGACTTTTATCCAATTTACAAGCCAGGAATTCGCAATGAAAGCTGACATGGCACAATACTTGTGGGATTTACATACAGGAGAATGGACACATTTCTGTTCTCCAAGAGCCTCTTCTTCCTACCTTTACACCTTTTCCCTAGTTAACTTACGATTTCTTTAGCCTGCATTTCTCTTATGTCCTTTCTAGTTTTCAGAGATGACTTTATCTCTTGCCTCTGGAGGAATCTGAGCTACAATGTAATTCAATGTATTGCTTCAGAGCACCCAGAATGCTGTGACCCTGCATCCATGCCTTGATCTTAATTTCTGAATGTGTGTGAAATGAAGCCTGCATATAGATATATTTGTCACAGAGACTTGAATTCTATTTTGTGTTTTTACCTTTCTGCCAGTCCATGTTTTCACACACTGAGTTATTCTTGTTTATTCTCAGACCTTCTTTATCTGAGGGGGAAAAAAATTAAAGAGGTCTGTTTTGAATTCCCTGTCTGCCATCTTGCATGAATTTTTATACCAATAACACCAGCAGATTGCCATATGTACTTTTAAATCCTCTACTTTGGAGATAAGATTGATGTTAATCCCACCTTTCTCAGTAATCTCCTGAAGAATTTACCTGCCTGGAATTATCATATTTATTTATTTTTGGATTCTAAACTCTTTTCTTTTTAATATCCCTTCAATATGCTTTTCATTTCAAGTTGCTTGGATGACTCATTACTAGTCTCAGGTAGAGAATGTATCTTCTGTGCTAGCCACTGAATAACAACTTTAGATGGATTCTTCTCCATGGATGATTTTTATGATTATTATTTTTAATCTTAGAGATGTCTCCTTTCATGATATGCTGCTGGGTACTAGCAATAGATCTGACTGTAGTTTGCACTGAAACTCTTTTCTGACCATTTAAAGAGGAGTATTAAAGTGGAAGTAAATTATTTGTTGCTTTTTCCTGATCCTCTTAAACTGCCAACATAGTGAGAAAGGGATTTTGTATAAAAGACAGCTTTATTCTAAAGGTCTCTAAAGAAGCAATAGAGTTCAGTCCCCAATGGATAAAGGTGAGAAATTTGGCTGTATGTTCGTAAATGAAGTTTTGTATGCCAGAAGACCTAATTTAGAAGGGAATTGTTTGAGTCCTGTTCTGCCAAGGTTAATGTAGGAGAGGCCAGTTCCTACCCACTACAGAAAGATGACCCTTATCCCAGGCATTTTGCTGCTTTTGTCATACAAATCATAGAGCTCTAAATGCCAAGGTAACCAGGCTTATAATGAATTAAACTGGACCTCAGAAGTTTAAGATACAGACAAAAAGCTGAAAATAATTGAAGATAGTAATTTAACTGGTTAAAAAAACATCAAAACAAAATTAAATGCTTATAAAGCTGAGTCAAATATTTGAGAAAATATGAGAAATTAAACCTGAGGAAACTTTCCATCCATTTCTCTCTTCTGGAAGATACAAAATGCAGTTTCCTAGCTATTTCTAATGTAACTATATTTTAGGAATACACCTGGGAGCCCACCAGATTAATGGAGACTGCAAATAATCTTGAAAACAAAATGAAACATTCTTCAAAATAAGGGAAGATTGCAAGTAAGTCTTATAATTTTCTTTCCCTAAGGCCATAGCTAGAGGATAGTTGAAATTATATTTGAAATGGGTTTTGTTTTTTTCCTTTATAATGCATACCAATTACTCCTACAGTAAGTAGATCTGGTTTCCTCAGACTGTTTTCAGAAGACATTACACAGATTATAGATAAAGGCACAATTATATGACCAGACATGCATTAGCAAAGAAAGAATTCCTTGCACCTGCAGGCTCTGCCACCTGTATGGCTCAGAGTGCCGGATTTGGACACTGGTATTGGAAATATCTACCAGCAAAAAATCTCCTGTTCAAAAACATCTTCTGGTTTCCTCAGGATTTCCACCTTAGTTTTCATGAGCAACATTTCCTATGAAATTATTTAGCAGCTGCTGTGTTCAGAGTCTGGGATTTCCAAACCCACCATCCTGTAGATTAAATCCCCTTTCGTTGTGAGTCAAGTCAGTAGAATTGCAGTGAGTTTGAGTGGGGGAAAGGCCAGCTGCAGAGACAGTGCAATTTAACAATGTAACTTAAAAAACAGTAGACAAGCCTGATGTTAAAATGCAAATGACATAAAACCTTTATGGCTCCTTCTAAATCTGCTCTCAAAACAGCTGCTAGACTTTGAAGCACTCCTTGATGAAGTGAGTTGGGATTTATGACACCTAAAGAATCAAATTCCTTTTGTTTTTCAGTTAATACATGACAGGAATAAATAGCAGTATGTAAATAAATAACAGTTTGCTTTCTGGCTTTAATTAAGTTTGGCAAAATAAGGTCAGAAGAGGAGTATTTGAAGTTGCCTTGGGGATTTTTCAGTCAAACTAATGCTAAAAATGTAAAGAAAAATATGAGATACATTTGGTCCATCATTGTCATGGCTATAATTGCTCTAGAATCAGCCTTGTACTCAGTAAAAGAAATGTGAGAAATTTCTGTTGGCATGTTTGGAAAATGGATTGACCTGGTGTTTACTCAGTAAAATAATTTGATGTAATCGTGAGCCACAGCTGGTTTTTAGCATTTGCAGAAGCCAAGAGTTGAAGAGAAAAAAAGAGCAAGCAAATGTTGGATGTGTTAAAAGTGTTGGAAGCATTAAGGATATTAAATATTTATAGCAAATAATTGGTTTTGCATTTTGGTCTCCAAATTAGTGTAGCTCTTGTGTATTGGGTACGTGGTTTATTTGTTCATCTAAACTGTGCGAGTCTAGAAGCTTTCTGCACTGTTTGACACGGACATCTCTGAGGCCATGGACTGCTCGTCCTGCCAGGCTCCTGCAAGGAACAGGCTGAGACAGGTGAGAGTTTGTGAAGAAAGTTCATAAGATAAAATGCAGTGAGCAGTTACGAAGTACAGAGCATTAGGCAGTTCTGTGCTTCACCCAGTTCCCATTCTCTTCCCACATCCTCTTTATCCTGTCAGCAGCTCAGCCAGATGATCTCAGGCACTGAAGCTTTTTGGTCTAATCCATCAGCCTCAGTGCAGATCAACAACGTCCAAAATGACCATGCCCATTTCAGGTCAGCTGAAATATGCCAAAAGCTCAGCATTAGTTTAAATGCTTCATAAATTCAGAATCTCCATCAGTGATTATAGAGCACTTTGGAGGCCAAGAAGTTCAAAAGCACTTTAAAAAGATAAGTGAAAATAAATTATGATCATTATTTTGGTGATAGAACAATGACATATGCAATACTTTACTATTCAGTCTCTCTGCATTTTACTAAGATTAATGTTGTCAAGTTTACTTCCAGCAAAACATGACTTTTCCAAGTTTGGAAACTCAGTCCCTATAAATGGGTGAGCAGCTGCATCTCTCAGCATCAGGCACTGAAGCTGCAGCAGTCCAAGTGACACACGGGTGATTCAGTTCTGAACCCAGTTCAGTAGAGGTGGATACACAAAGAGCAAAGGCTGCTTCCCTGAGTGCCTCCTGACACTGTTTTGAGGATGGAAAAGGGTTCAGGCAGAGTTTGCTTTGGGCTGCACTGTCTGGAAACACGAGGCTGCAAAACATCTGTAAGCCATTCACTGGTCCTAATCACTGTGTGCTTAATCTGTGACATTATTTTGCCAATTTTTTATGTTCACTGATTTTCAGAACTACATTTTGATAACCTTCTTTGTTTGAAAGAAGTGCCATTGATAAAGGTTGGCATCACAGTTTAATTAGGTGTCACTTCTGGTTAGTCCGGCCTATTGCCAAGTGTCAAGATGGGAGGAAGCACTGGGTTTAAACCTTATCAAAGTAATCTTTTCTTCTCCTCTCCTTTAAATCTGCGTTGCTATAATTATGAAAAGCAGCTCATTTTCAGCATCACCCAGGGGCAGAAGCTGTGAGTTGCCATTTCTTTTCCTGTACAGCTGCCTGGTTCCGTGAATGCATCTTGGGAGACTCATTTGCTTCGTTACCAAGAGATGATCTGCAGCTGTGGATGGTGGTTTGTGCTGTATAATGGGCTTCCCCAGCCCTCACTTTGGAAGGTGATTATGAGCCCTTCTGCTGCTCTGGGAAGGGCACAGATCGGTGCTGTGCAGGAGACCTGGAGGTTAGGACTGAGTGGGCAGGAGGAACATCATCTGCCATTCCCCACAGCATGGTGCAGCACACTGATGCCAGACTTTCAGCCAAGGGCCAGCAAGGCTTCCATTTCTGAGGCCTGACAACTGTCTCAGGGAATTTTGTTGGAGTTCTGTTTCGTACTCTAGGAACTCATGAGAAATATTAAAGTATACCTTATTAACATTTGTAGTTATTAAAAAGTCAAACAAGAAAGCCAAAGGGGGTCTGCATTTAGATTATTTAAAAGTATTTAATGTGTGGGTGCATTATTTCAAAAATGAGAGCAATGAATACCCAGGAGATGGGGAATTTTGTGTTTAGCAGCAAAATAAGAGATGCTAAACCCTTCATGTGCAGGGGAGCTTTCTCCCAGAGACAAGTGTGCTGGCAGACACATCCCTGCAGGTGAGTGGAAGTGGGGCAGGGGGAGAGGCACAGTGTCTCAGAATTAAAGAGCTCAGAGGAACATTTTGGAATACACTAGAAAATCAGGAGAGAGTACACCCCATTGTTTTCAGAAGCACGCTGTTCTTGTTTCTTTAGATAACCTGCACAGTTGTGATTTCAGGTTTCTGGGTTTTTAGTAGTACACACTCAGGGTAAGTCCATATCGTGAAGTGTTTCTTCTGACTGGCCTATGAAGAAATGATGGCATGAATTTGCAGTAGCAAACTCGTGCCTGTGTTCCAAGCTGAAGGAGAGGTTTTAACAAACATCTGAGGAATATGCATGATTTTTTGTTCAATCTTCAGTGCTCTATAAGTGTTCAAAAGCATGTTGATATACAAAAGATATCAAATTCTTTGGGTTCAGCTACCTATAGGTGTTTTAGCCCATAATTCCAGCCATCTTTCAGCTTTGTCATATAATGTTCAGTATATTTTTATCTGTCCTCATTATACACCTTTGTTTCATAGATAATGATTATATTAATCAAAGCCCATTTAAATTAATAGATCCAGCACTTTTATTCTTAACATTTCAGCCTGTTTTTTCCCCTCAGACCATTTGTCAAACATATCTGTCAAAAATACTTCTTGCCTACAATAAATATTGTTTGAAGTCATACTCCAAATGTGAAAAGAACAATCTATTTGCTCCCAGCTAGAATTGTTCTATGGTTGATCAAAAATGAGGGGGTCATTGTGAGATAATAGTTTTGGGATAGATGATTGATGTCACTTACTGGAGCCTGTGCTTTGAGGCTAGGTAGACACACCAAAGACTAAGTGAACTTGAAAGCTGAATTCCCATCTCAGGCTTACAAATGAGCCATCTCAGCTGAGCTTGGAGCAGTTGTTTAATCAGCAAGGAGCAGCCTCTGTGAGATCCCAATGTTGTTCCTATTTGTCATTAAATGGGGGTCATCAGTCTCCGTGACTCTCCCTACAACCTATTAAATTTCCTGTAAAGAAAACAAAAGCACTGATTAGTGAGACCTGGAGATGTTTGTCAGAGCTACAGGTGCCTTTCTTGACAGGAGACAGTATAAAAACAAATCTCTGTAAAATAAAAAGCTTCTGTTAATCTTGAAAGGTGAGGGGAGGATTATGGATAATTGAAGGTGGGAGAACAAAATTGTTACATCTGAAACATAAACACATTGTCTTTGTGTCCATCAGAAAATTGATTTTTGATGCTCATTTTCCCTCACTTGATTTGTTTTCGGTGAAGTTCATATTTCTGAGATAACAAACTCCTTTTAACCTTGGCAATCAGCTTGTAGAAATACAGTTTTGCTTCTTTAACCACAGTACAATCCCTGGTGGTTAGTATCATGCTTTTCCTCACTGTATGAGCTTGTGGAGTACAGGGTTTGTTGCCAAATATGCATCCAAGATTCTGGTGAGGCCCTTCCTTCCTTCACCCCACATCCAGCTCTGCATCTTCTCCATCCTGTGCACATCCCCAGATCCTTCACCTCTCCTCCACTGCAGTCTTTTCCTGATCTGTTTAAAAACTTTGCTGACTTGTGATCACTTCCTCATTATTTAGGTTAAAATGTGCATGTGGTTGTATTGTTACCTACACAAGCAAATAATTCTTGTTTTAACTAAGAAATGCATAGATTTAGCTTTTTAAAAACTCAGATACAAAATAAAATGGTTTGATGCTTTGCATTTGGGTGTAATGCAGCTGGGAATAGTATTCCTTCCCTGTTTGCAAATACATAGGAAAGTGTGTTTATTGATATTGACCAAATAAATACATTTTATTGCACTGTAGTTACAGATGGAGAGGCAGAGTGGAATCCTTTTAACAGAGACAAATATACTTGGAAGAAAAATAGCTTTAGGAGTGAAAACTAAAGAATATGGATTAGATAGCGTGATAATGTTATTTGTAGAAAGCTCTGAACAGATCAGACTGGAACATACTGAATAACTGAGGATGTTGTTTATAGTTAGTCCTTGGCTATTTGTCTAAAGTAAACTTGGAATTAGTTGTGGATTTATTTGGTAATTAGAGTAGTTCAAGCAATTTATCTAATCAAGCACACTGCAAGTCTTCATCCACCATCAGATTTTATTTCTTGCTTGGTTCTTTCTGCCTTATGTGACTTGAATTAAAGTTTTCATAAAACCTCTAGATTTCTGTATAAGAATGGATGTTCATCTCTGAGCAGGTCCACAGGCAGGAGAAGAGAGTTCATTGAAGCAGCAGCACAGAATCTCATGCAATCTACTTTGAACAGAAGCTGTAGCTGTAGATTCTGTGCCTCAGAAAATCCAATTCAAAACTTCATGAAGTTTAAGTGGGGATTAATTTGGCCACAAGTGTTGTTGTACCTTCTTGGCCTTCTGCAGAAATCTGAAATCTTGCTAGCATTTATACCTTAAACGGGCTTGTTCTTAAATTAAGATGAGGTAATGTTTTGTACTCACAGATGGCACAGAGGGAAAAAGGAGGCTGATCTTGTACCAAAGAAATTAAACTAAAATGTCAGTTAAATTAGTTAACTGCATAGCTTGGACCAATGTGAGATGCTTCAGTGCATCTAAGACCTTAAGTTATGCGGTAAAAGCAGGCTCAGGGGTCAGCAGCCAGTTTGCCTGCAGCTCTTTGCTCTCAGCAGCAGGCAGGATATGGCACCATTTACATTGAATCAGTCTGTTTTCTGCCATGCCTTTTCCTCAGTATTTATAATTCTTTTGCTTAGATTTACAGCCAGAAATGCTCATTAAAATAGCAGGTGATTATACAGATTTTCTTATTTTCCTCTTGCTTTGCTATCTGAATTTAGCAATGACCCTGGATTTAGCCACAGTCCTGAAGGTGAATATATGCAGAATGTGGGCTGGCTGCTAACAGTGCCCACAGATTTTTCTTGCTTCGTGGTAGCTGAAAGACAAGAGATTTGTTGAGGGTCAGAGAGCAGCGTGTTCCTCCAGGCACACAGCCCTGGGGCTGCAGACAGACATCGATGTTATCCTCATTTCCTTGAGCTCCTGAAACCATGCAGGGAATGCACACGGCAGCACTGAAATCAAAGGTTAACTCGGAAATGTCCAGAGGTCCATGGCCCTGGCTGATGGCATCCTGAGGGTGCAGGGACCACACCTGTAGGTACCTGAGGTAACCCCTCTTGGAAGTGTGGCTGTGCTGCTGCTCCTCACAGCAGGGCACAGGCAACAGTTCAGTTCAAGGGGCTTCAGTTCCTGCTCCACTCCATCTTAGCCCCAAACATATTTCTGTGAGTAGCCTCAATTTTGATAGTGTTTGCAAACCTTCCTTTGTGACACCACACTGGTTCCTCACTTTGTTCTCAAGGAAGAGCCATTTGAAAGCTTCATTTTATGTGGAAATGGACCTTGCTGTCTGCAGCTTTCTTGAACACAACTGAAATATTTTTTACCCATTTTTAACACCTTTTGAGTTGTCAGTCTGTAATGAATTGTGAATTCAAGTCAGTTCTGACTGAGGTGTTCTCCAGTTCCCGAGGTTTGCACGCTGCCTCATGACAATAGTTTTACATGTGCTGTTCAGCCGTTCTTTGGTCCCTCTCATCTGATCTCTCATCAGTTCCTGGGGGAATTGGTTTTATCGTGTTTCCAATCCTTCGCTTTCACACACCTAAAGCATCACTCTTTTCTGTTCTGAAAACCCAGCACCTGGTTATGCTCATGCTGAGCAAAATGAAATAACAGAGGCAAGGGCACGCCAATTAGAGCCCTGAAGGATCTGCAGCGGCTGCTGCTTCCAGGAGCACGTAGCACTTCTGCAAGATGATGCTGTGATTACCTTGCCTTTGAAAGTGCTGCAGACTCTTCAACAACTTCCATGGGTGTTTGCCTCAAACTGAATGACTCCGGTTTAATTTAAATGTAAATGAAAAGTACATCATTTAAAATGTTTAACAGACACTGGAGGATTTTGCACAGAGCAGAATTGATCACGTGCTGCGTTCTGTCGTGGTTATTATTCACTTATGCCACATATAAAATCTTTAATCAGCTCCAGATGATTTTCTCCCTCCATCCCCCATCCATGTAGAGGGTCTTTGGGAAGACTTCCCAAGAGCTATACCAGCTTGGCTTCTGCAAGATGCTGCTGGTTTCCTAAATCCTGCTGCAAAGTGGCTTTCATGATTGCAGAGCAGAACTAATGCCTTCTAATACTTTCTTTGCAGTGAGCAGCAAAACCCAAGCAAATGGCAGGCGTTAGTTCCTGCAGTAATTCTGGGTCCTGGCAGGCTCTCCTCAGAAGTTCCTGGCCTCTTCTGGCTGCAGTAAACTGCAGGTTTGAAAAGAAGGACAAGAGGGAGTCTAACTCCAAGCTTGCAGGCGTTTTAGAGAGACTGTTCTGAGGTTTGGAGCTCACAATAAGAAGCCTTGTCCATATCTTCAAAGCCTTCAGGATGCTCTGCTTTCTGCAGAGAAATTCTTAGGAGTTCTCTATACTCAAACAGTCATTCCTGCCGGTAATTTATATGTTATTCCAGGCATTCCATTAGTTCCACTATGGATTTTGATCTACTTCATGTCTGTATAGTCTCCAGACTGTTCTTTTGTAATTAGAAAATATTATGTTTCTTAAAAAGGCACAAAAATAGGATCAGGCCAATACTTCTGTTGCACACACCTGTAGTAGAGCAATGCTCCCTGTCCTGGGGCTGAGGGTATCCAGGTGTGTGAGCAGTAGCAGCACACCTGTTTAGACCTCCTGAAGCAGGGGCACTTCTTATATTTATTTTATTTCCTATGAAACAGCAACAATACTAGTATTGCAAAAAAAGGTCTTCTTAACTGTCTGAATTGCTGCAGGTTCTACATACAGGATCTTACTACAGGCTTTTTAATTAATCTGTTCCCCAAAATTCAATTTTTTTATCACCTTCAGCCTTTGCCAGTCTGGAGTTTTCCTTATTACATATATCTGCTCAAAGTAATAAGTGTAGAAATTGCTTTTAATGCCATAACATTAAAAACAGATATACTGATCCCTGCTGAAAGTCGCATTATTTTTAATTGTCTGACTTGCAGGGGATCAATAGCCTGGGAACCTGTGAGTAGCATGGACAATTCATTCTTCACACTGTTCAAGAGCTGTGGAGTTAATCCTGTATGTGGCAAGTTTGTCAAATTAACAGATTCTTCAGTTTTGTTCCGGCTGCTGCTAGGGATAAATAAATGAAGATGGAAATCCACCCAACTCACCAGGAACTGGTTCCAGCCTTGGGCAGGTTGCAGCCACAGAAGTGGGTGATGATGGCTTTTACAGGGAAGGCTGTAGACCAGATTTTGTGCGGCACAAGGTTTCTTGGTGGAGCCCCCAGGTTTCTGTTTGTGCCAGCTCTGCTGAGTTCCTGCACAGAGGAGCTGAATTCTCATTAACAGGGTCTGGCTGAGAATTCAATACAAACAGGTCTGTGCTGAGCACAAGAACACAACAGACCACTGTTCACCATGTGACAGCAGAAGTTCCCCAAGCAAGTGCACCCTCACACACTACATGTTAGCAAAAGTTAGTATTGAATTTACTCTGCAGAGTAACTGTGTAATAAATAATTTCAATCCTTTAGTTAGTCACTTAAAGGAGCCCCATAAATAATTACTGATTTACTGACAGCAATTTAGTTGGTCTAAGAACCCAAGATTAATAACACACTCTGCTTGTTCTCTGGAATAATAGCTTAGGTGCAATTTCTAAACATTATATATCTTTATCTCGGACTCTGATACCAGTCAGCTAATCCTGAGCAAAGGAGCTAAGAAAATGCAGCTAAAATGGAGATTTCTTTCATCTCAATAAATCTCTTTCCCTTACTGCCTTTTTTTCACCATAGTCAGGTTTCTAGTGAGGCAATCTTAATTTATTAGTTTAATCTGGGAAATTAGTTGCTGTGGGTTTTGGTTGTATAGATAAATGGGCAATAAAAAACATTTTGACTTAAGTGAGATTTCTTTTCCTTTTCCAAGGATGCAAAGAGAATACTGAAATATTTTAGACCATTATTGTTTCAGAGACTAAAATTCAAATAAATAATATTTTACTGAAATCTCTGGTAAAGGGAAGTCTGTTGCTCTCAAGCAATAGCTGTCTGCAAGTGTGAGAAGACATAACACATTAAAAGTTTAAAAAAGTAACAACTGTTATGTTAGAAGTACCCCCTCCCCCCAATATTATTATAAATTATGTTTTAAAGAAAGAAAAATGAAAGCATTTTTGAAAGTTTCTAGCTGATTTTGGAATCTAAGTCACATCATTGGTGACATGGGACCGAAGCCACATAGTTGTACCTTCAAAAATATTTGTTGAAAGTAATTGGACCGTAGCCACTATTTGAACATTTTTCTAGGTCTCATTTGCATTTGAGTAGTTAAGGATGTTTTAATGTCTGTGCCACCATGATTTAGACTTTAAGACCTTTACTACTTGGCCTTCCAGCTGCCCAGTCGCTTATGAAAGCAGGATTTAGCTGTTCAACTCCTTTAGACCTTGTGGTGATTAGTGCAATGGCAAGAGAAAAATTGGAGCTGGCTGCTTAAACACAGAGCTAAGCATTCAGCAGCATTTTACAAAATGCTCCATAGGTTAGGCTTGAATTCAGGATAAGCAAAAACCACAAAAGCGCTCACAGTGTTTATTGAATGGGTCCAATTAGTGTGCAGAGAAGTGACCAAATGCCTTTACCCTTGTGCAAATGAAGAACCAGCCTCTGCTCTTACGCTGTTCTGAAATGGGAAGCCCCTGCAGCAGAAATGCCCAGGCCAGAAGGGAAATGCTCTGCCTGTGGTGTGTGGCAGCTCCTGTGCTCCCGAGCAGCCAGTGCCACCAGCTGCCACCGCCACCCCTCCATCCACGTGCCCTGCACGGGAGCGCTGAGCCCCGCGCAGCCCAGGCTGGTCCTGCGCTCCCCTTCTGGAGCAGCTGGAAGAGCCAAAGCCAGCGCGGCCTCAGCTCATGGTGCTGATGGTCCTGGCTGCTCCTGCCTGCCGGGAGAAGGGCACCGAGCCAAACGAGCTCCTTGCTCTTTGCCTCCACAACAAATGGATTTTAGATTGTTCTTTTCATATTTGGATGTTTGCAGAGTTCTGCTTTTCCCCTGAAGGGTTCTGTGGGATTGGCAGGGCACCTTCACTTGGCTTTTTAAGTCTAGGTTGCATCTCGGTACGCTTGCGTTGGCAGGGTAACAGAGTATTTACTTCTTTTCCCATTTCTTTAGTTTCAGAGATGAAAATCAGTGACTTGTTTAATGGGTTGAAAAATCTCCACTGCTACTCTGATACTGGACTGCTGTGTACCTTGTGTTGTTTTGTTTCAAGTTAGGGCATTTTCCCTGAAACGTAATTTTCTTCATTGTGGAATGCAGTATGAGGTAGAGGTTGCACTTCAGAGACATATACCTGGTTACAAAGCATTAGTGTTTTCACCTCACTGTTTCCATTCTTCCTGGAAATGTCCCTTATGTATTCATTAGATAGATGATGGATCAGTGTGGCACAGGTTTGGAATAAGATTCACACCAGGAGATGTGAAAAGACAATATTGAGATAGAGAGTGGAATTCTTTTCATATATGGGAGAGAAATACTCTGAAAACACAGTATCTGTTTTTGATTTCCACAAATAGTTTTCTTCCTTTTACATTTCCATTCTGAAATTACATCTCGGTAGAAAAATCTTGTATTTTTTCTTTTTTGAAGTGAAATGGCATGTATAGTAAACTGTTGTCTTAAACAGTAATGACTTGCTCAGGACTCCTTGCTGGTAGCTAGTGAACCACAAAAATATCCCGAGATGAACAATTTAAACAAAAAGTAGCACATCATTTGCTTGAACTCAGCAGCACACTTTGACTGAAGAGGGTCTGTGTCTGTGTTTGCTCCCCAAGAACATTTGAGTGTTTGACCGAGACACAGAAAGTAGGCAGGAAAGCGTGGGGTGATTCATTCCAAAATCTCTGTCTTTCTTTTGCCAGAAGCCAAATTTGATGCACATATTTCTAGTTCATCGTGAGTTCTATCAAGTGAGGAAACAGACCCAACAAATGACTAAATATTTTCTAGCTGGCACTATGTATAACCTACTGCAATATTGTTTTTTTAAGTCTTCAATATTCTTGCTGTTAATTACAGTTACTTGACTCATACAACTAAAAATTACATGGGAATGGCAGACTGTGAGCATTTGTGACAAGATTTCAGCAGACAGTCTGAACACCAGTAGTTACTCTGAAGGAGTTAATAAATGTTAGTGTCTCAGTCAGTTCCAGAATAAGACTTGACATAAAACCTCCTGAAATGATTGGAAGTCTTCCAACAAACTGACTCCATTAGACTTCAAATTGGAGGGTTTATCTACTAAAATGGGATGGTATTCAGTTGTTTGCACTGTTTGTAGCATACCATTAATTATAATATTTTTATCTTTGAATAATATAAATTATTATATTTATCCAAAATGTCTGTAGCCTTCCTGTGAGATAAATTTTTCAATCCTGAAAATTCCTGTCCTGTAAACAGTTACTACCAAATTTTGACAGCCTGATGGCAACTTGTGTTTTTCTGCTTCACTATCCTTTGTTTAGCTGGAAGATAAGTGAGACAAGAAAATTAAAAGTAATGAAGATGTGAGGCAATCAAAACAGCTCAGATTTTCAGATCATAAATTTTAAGGTGTACAGACATACTAATATATACCTGTGTGCATAAGGAGTGGCAGGCTTGCATCTGACTCAGAATTTGACTTATAGCTGGGAAACAGGAGTTCAGCTGAAATAGACAACGAAGGTTACATTAAATCAATAAAAAATGTAGGGCCTAATTAAAAAAATACAGCATCTTTTAACAGAAGTCAACTGTATTTCTCAGTTGTCTGACCAGCTTCTATCAAGTTCATTACTCTCTCTTGATTAAATCTTTTCTAATGATTTCTGCCTGAATGAGAAGCAGAGAAATGGTAGTCACCAATCACTCCTTAGACAGACTTGACAGCGATGTATATGACTCATTCTGTTCAGCTGGATCTAACTCTTTAATTCTTCTTAACAAGAAGCAAAAAGGTTCCATCAGCAACAAATATCCTAAGGGTGTAAATTCTGAGGGAAACTTCTGCTATGTTATAGCTGGCAGCAATTAGAAGATTGGAAAAATTGTTGCAAGTTTATCAGGAATACATGTAATAATGCTAAACATTTGAGTCCATTTATCTCACAGAATTTATTTATCCAGAGGAGAACAAAAGACACCTTTTGCCTCTTTGGTGTGCTTTCTCTAATTGGAGTCTATAAAGAGTTTTTTTTTATAGACTCACCTGAAAATGAGTCATGGGCACCTTTTGGCCTCAGCAGAGTGACTCACAGGAAGAGTACTCTTGTCATGAGCAGTAGGTGCAAAAGCTTTTGTGATGCAATCAAACTTCCAGTCAAAGTTACAGGCAAATTTTCATTTTATCCAGAGGATCCTGCTCCACTCCAGCCCCGGTACTGGCATGGTGCTTGTGCCTGCAGCTGACACTGCCCTTTGCCCATCTCTGCAGGCTCAGGTGCCGCTGCTGCAGTCTGGATTGTGGATTTGGGGGGGGGTGTCTGTCTCAGCATCACAGGGCTCGAAGGATTCATCATTCTCCAGCAGCAGTCCTTGGGAGAGAGGAAAGGGAAACAGCTCCTCGAGTAAACCTGTGCCTACAGAAAATGAGACGTGCTGACCTTCCCTCAGCTTGGCCTTCACATAGGAGGGAGAAAATTACTCCTTTCTCCCCAGCCACCTTTCATTTCTTATTTTCCTCTTTTATCTACTTTTCCTCACGAGGCTGATCGTAAATGTTGTCTTTTCTAACAGAGAACTGGGCTGCTCTGGGCAAGATAACAAACACATGCTCTTTTTGCCACTTTCCTTATATAGAATAGCTTTTCTTATTCTATTTGCTTTGCTGCCAGTTCTTATCTGGAATTTAGATCATAAAGCAGGACTGTCTTTCTCCAGGACCACTAAATAATATAATATCTGGTAGATTGTGAGCATTTTAAAAAAAAATTTGTTATGAATTTTATGATGTTTCAAAATAGATTTGGTAACTATTCATACCCTATAGGAAAGACAGAAACAAAAATACTTTATCTCCATTTCTGGCTATTATTTTGACTTGTTTTAAAGTGTTGTCTTCCCCTTCTTTATTGAAGTACTATCAAATTTATTGATAGTACTGGTGTGGGTCAAGGTCTGAGCTGAAGTTTACCGCTGTTAGTACCAGAACTTTTGCTGTCATCAAGAGTGTTATTTGTATTTATAATAAAAATGAATACTGTGTAAACACTGCACACGAAACTGCACAAGGGAATACTTTTCACAGATTAGGGCAGTGTTCACTGCTCTGTCTTTAAATCTCCTGATACCCTCAATTGCTAAAGAGAAGTGCATGAATTTTTGCTGAGATGCATGAGGGTTTACTGCAGGTGCCATCCAGTAGATCCATCAGGACACTCCTGTCATGCTGCT